CCTTTTAAGATTACAGAAGAAAAGGGTCGAAAAATCATACAATCGAAAAGTAAAGCCTAAGACATTTCTGCCTGAGGATCTAGTATGGAAAGTAATTCTCCCAATGGATTGAAAAGATAGAAATATGGGAAAATGGTCCCCTAAGTGGGAAGGACCTTTCAAAACTATCCAGACTTTCTCTGGTCCCCTAAGTCATTACAATAAATGATTATACAAGTACAGAGAAAGAATTTAAAAGGGGAGATTGGCTTTGATCTGAAGGTATTTGATCCTCTATAATTCCAGACGCCTTTCACACAGAGCCTTCGACTGATGTAGGGTTTCAAGTTTAGCATTGAGCATTTGAGCCCGATCAGCATGTTTTAACCCTTCAGCAAGTTCCTCTTGGCTTTCAGGTTCAGTGTTAATGGCAAGAAGTTCTTCTTTCCTTTTATCGTTGGCGGAAATTTTAGCCTCCAATTCTTTGATCTGCGCCCTCATTTTAGTTGTCTCTTGATCGATCTCCTCAGCTTCTTTCTGCCTATCCTCTTGAGCCTTCGACAACTCTTTTACTTTGGAGGCTGATTCAATAGCAGCATGCCAAGCAGCAGCTACATGACCGTTGGCCTCTTCGATCTCGCGAGTGAGAGTCCTTCGACGATTGTAGTCTGCTGACACTTGGTCAATGATGGAGGTTAAATCCAAAATAACGCTATCTATATCTGGAGAAGCAACAAGGAGATCAACAACCCTCAAAGTGGTCTTCCAGAAGGAGGGAGCAGTAGGTTCTCCCTTCAACGTTAGCATTAAATCTCTTTTGAAAATTTATGCCTTAACCTTATGAAGCGCCTCATCAAGAGGAGATGTTGAGGTAGACTTTCCAGACGCAGTCGAAATGCTGTGATCAGAAGAATTTTCTCTCCCTTTGAGAATGGCAGTCAAATAAGCCAGAGGATTTTGCTGTTTCAACAAGGCCAAATCTTCTTTGGTACGAGACCCTGTCGAAGGGGGACCCTCGTTAATAGCAGTAGCCACATTTACTACCTGTGCTGGAACATGGGCAGCTTTAGTGTTTGCAAGATTTTGGGTCCCCTCAGTAGAGTTTTCTCTGCCATCAGCCTCTGGAATTCTTTCATTTTGATTCTCCCCCTCCAACATACCTTCCCCATCTGTTCCAACTACAGTATCAGTAGCCTCCTCCTCTTCACCCTCCTGTGCATCATCCAGTAGAGCCCTGATTTCTTCCTGTTCTCCTATAGGGCCTTCTTCATTTGCTTCTTTTATGGTCTCATGTTGAAGCTCAGAAGTTTGGTTCACATCACCAGCTGAGCTCACAAAGGAGCCTTTTGCTGAAGAAGGCCTATAAGTAGGATCTCCCTCACTATTTAACAAAGTGGTAGATCCTTCGACATGAATGGGAGCCTGTTTAGAAGTGCCAGCAGTATCCTGAAGATTAAGAAGTTTTATCCTCATAGTTATTATGGAAAAAAGGGCTAGTTCAGGAAGTAAGCAGATGTCTATCGAAGTAAATACCTGGAGAGGAACTTCGGCACCAGACTGGAATTGTCACTCTCACTAGGATTATTCATCCTAGCGGCTACCTCTTGTTCAGTGGGCTCTCTGATGATTATAGAAGGAGGCCTCGATTTGGTAGCTAGAATCTTGATTTTTGTCTTGGGGCGAGGCTCAGGTATAGGAGTTGTTTTCTTTAATTTTTGTCTTTTCAGAGGAACATGAGGAGATTCCTCTTCTTTATCACTAGAGATTTCAATCTCCTGAACCTTCTGTTTCTTGGGAGTGGTTTTCTGAACACCCAGAAAGATAAGAGTCGGAGGAATTAACATCTATACCAGAAAATAGTAAAGGAGAAAGGTATAGCAGAAAGTGAATACCTTTGGTGAAGGGTTCACAGAAGGGTCTCCCCCTTTGGTGCTTTCAGCAACCTTTTTTATGTTGGTCCTCTTGACAGCTATACAAGAAACAAATATAAGTTGGATGTCGAATGATTGAATCTAAGGCAAAGAGACAAAAAGAAAGAAAATATTACCTTTCTTGATCTTGTCAAAGACCAGCTTGAATGCCTCACGAAGATGGTTGGCGAAATCCTTCTCGTCGAAGAATTCTTCATTGTAATATTGCCTCCACCACCCCTCAAAAATGGGCGAACATATAAAACTAAGGTTAAAGTCGAACAGAGTTAGTACGGTTCGACCAATGTACCTATCAATATGCTTGGTAGCAGCATCCTCTGAGTAATCTGCATTATAAAACAATAGCAGCTTCTCTCGAGAGTAGATGGGAGACGGAAGTGACTAACAATACCGAATTGTCGAGAGACAAGATTCGGTTGGTAAGCAATCAAACTCAGTTGATTCTTCGAACTCTTGAATCTCAGCGGCATGATTCTGGGTCGAAGAAACGACTCCCAAATAGCCACATATTCGTCCTCTAAGTCCTCCTCATCAGCTGAAGGAAATGGTCGAGTGAACCATTTTGGTCCAACTTTTCGACTAGCGAAGGGAGCCATGGTCGAAACAAAATTTTAGCGCTCTACAAACATCATCACAAAGCTAGTGAAGGCCTTTTGGAATTGCCGACCCTCGTCAGTCGGAGTCAACAAAACTAGCCTGATACCTTCGACCCTCCTGTTCAGAATTTCTGGGGCCTCTTCATTTATCTTATTCTTTTGAGGAAGAAAAGATTCGAAAGTGGCATTGAGCCAGAGTTGAAGAATCCAAAAGGGGCCAGAAAGAAGCAAGCTTGCCCTGTCTCCGATGACTTTGAGTTGAGTCACACCATTGCTGATGGACTCATACAGATTGGCCAAAATTAACTCAGCCAAGCAGAAAGGGTAGCCATGATGAAGCTGTGTTGCAAGCGTAAGCATCTTCTTAGTCACTTGAAGTGACTTAATACAGAAGACGAATCGAGATAGCCACATAGCTAAGAAAGCTATATGTTCCACCTCCGACAAAGTGCTGCAAGATTTATCATGAAAATGGTTGATGAATATGGTATATGTGGGCTTTGTAACTGAAAACCCAATGGAATCCTCAGATAAATCTTTTGGGTCGAAGTAGTCACCAGTTGGTCGAAGACCGGTAATTGCTGCTATGTCGAAGAGGGTTGGGGTCATCATTCCACAAGGAAGATGAAATATGAAATGGGCGCTGTCCCAGAAGTATAACGAAGACACTAACATGAGGGGGCAGTAAGATAACCCTGTCTTTAACAGCATCACCAAGTCATAGATCCCCATTTCTTTCCAGACTGGGGTTTGTACCTTCTTTATTTTATTCAGCCAGTCTGAATATTCTGAAGAAAGACTAGGGCACGATCGAAAGATCCTGTTCCCTTTGTTCATGAACTGAAGATTAATATCTTCCTTTGTCTGAGCATGTTGTTGGTTAGCTGGAGTCGCATCCTCATGATCATTCCTGGGTTTCTTCACACAACCTAAAGGCTTAAGCCTAGGATGAGTGGGGAAGAAAGCACGATTTTTTGTGGGATTCTCGACGCATGTAGATAAAGAGCCAAACATGGCATATATATTCTCAGAATACCTAATAGGGATGAGGAGCTAAGAGTTGTACGCCTCACGCCTTTCTTTGGTCATAGGTTCGGAGACGGACCTTATCCCCTCAATCGAAGCAGGAGGAGAACTTGTGGGAAAGATCTCCGGTTGACGCTGTACGTCAGAAACATTTTTGGGCTTAGGGTTGTTTGGATCATTGGAGAGGAAAACCATTATTATGAGTTGGTGAAAAGCGAAGATGATAGAGTCACTACGGTGTAAGGTGTTTTTCTGTATAAGAGATGAAAAATGCTGAGTGTTGTGAAAGTTCCAAAAGAGAGAACTCAAGGCTATTTATAGTGTCCAGTGAGAAGGGTTTCTCACCAAAGCCATTTAATGCTATAAACATAGTGGGGCACGTGGCAAGCGGTAAAGCAGTTACCGTGCATATGATGGGGAATGTTTGACATGCTTGCCTAGGTTCTAGGAGTAATGGTCATCATGGCAGCATGGTAACGACTGATTGAAAAGACGTCTTGGGAAAAGGGTAATGATGGTTCTAAACATGGCAGCTGTTGGAAGGCGAAAAGTACGCGTAAGCCTTTGTGGACAAAAGAGACAGGTGTCGAATAGGAATATCAAAGAATGACTATTTCTCTCAACGTCGAAATAGGCATTCCTGAGGGGAAATTTGTTGGCTCTTGAATTCGACACCCACGATATATTGGCCTTATGGGCCAAAAATAGAGAAAATAAAGCCAAGCAGGAAAATGCTTCGACGGATGGAGAAACTTAGAGAAAATATCTGAGTTACAAATTGGTCTTCGACCAGACATCACCATGAAACCTTTGAATGGAAAGGTCTTGTGACCTTCGACTAGAAGAACAAACCCTCGTGTCAGCACCAAGGACGAAGGATATTTGAATTTGAAGATTGGAGGGAAATGAAGTTCGCCAGCAGTTAAGGGAAAGCGACGTGGCAGGAAGATAGAGGTCAAGGGACATGCAAAAGACACTTGTCTTCATCCTAGAGCAAAGCAACCCCTCGACAATTACATAATTTTAGTATAAAAATAGGAAGTTTGTGTAGATTTTTCGTGTGTTCAACCTATTGTGCTAGTTACTCAACATTATTCAAGTACCTTCTGTGTGTGAAAGAATAACTGAGAATGTACGTTGGAAACACCACCTTTTTTCAATAAAGTCTTTTACATTGCTTTGATCTTCTTTTTCAAAGTTTACGTTTCTTGCATTTTATCTGCGCTTCTATTTGCTTTCCAAAAAACCACAAACACCATATCCCTAGTCGGACGTGCGTTCTTCCTGATATTGACTTTTACATCAAACCATCATAAAATTAGCATATGTTCTGGGATCAATCTGATCGATCCTGCGAGTAACCAAAAGGACTTTCCCTTTTGGAGGATCAACGGTTGTTTATCAAAAACCACAGTAAACAATATCACTTTTTGATTATCTAACTTAACTCACATGAAGAACTATGAATATGCCTTTTTATGTGAAGGATGTTGCAAACACATATATTCTGGGAAATGACCATGCTTTGACTAATGGAAGATATTGTAGTGAGTTATTTTTACAACAACATCCAGCCAATCCACCTGCTGGCTCCATCCTATTGAACCATAGTCTAATTTTACCAGATTGACTCGTGATTTAAATGTTATTGGTTCAATCAGTTTTTTGTTCTTACTTTTGATTTATTTCTAAATCTTCCAGTTCAACTATGATTTGAACCTATTGAACAATAACCCAGGAATGCCACCGGTTTGATTTTCGATCTGATTTTTACAATATCATGTTCTGTGTTGTTCAGAGTTGGAGACAACGTGTGAAGATTTCGGCAACAGTTTTGAGAAGTGCACCGTATATAAAGGAACATTGTACAGTGGAGTCGATATTGCTGTTGATTATACTATTGTTACTTCTATTGAGGATTGGTCAAAGAACATGGAGATAACCTACAGAAGAAAGGTTTTCTTCCTTCTTATGTCAATGGAAATGGAAATGCTAAGAGTTTCAATTCAATTGATATATGGAGTTTCGTGTTTCAAACTTAATTGTTTAGCTAACTTATTTCCTTACATACATGCTCTCAGATTGCTGCTTTATCCCGTGTTAACCATAACAACATTACCAATCTCATTGGTTGTTGTGACGAAGACGAACCATTCACAAGGATGATGGTGTTTGAGTATGCTCCGAGCGAAAGCTTATATGAGCATCTACATGGTAACACTTTTTTAAGTCTGAAAATATAAGTCAATTAAACGCTCGAGTTCTTCATAAAATAAAGAGTCACATTTTATATGTCTCTTTGTTTTTCAGTTAAGGATGTTGAACATCTTGATTGGAGTGCAAGAATGAGCCACGCCTTTGTCTAAACACGTTGAAGAGTTATCGAGGGTCACTTTTGAATCTACCTTGATACAAGGATATGGTACACTATAGTATTTGAATCTTTGATTAGAAAATTGGTGGATTGTTTATAAGAAGTAGTTCATCCTGGCTATATATATCTCTTGTAGCATGATGTAGGATCTTAGGTTCGTGAGGCTGCATTAGATGGCCTTGAAAAATGTACATATATGCTCTGTAAGATCGACAAGTCAGGTTGCTTGTCTGGAAAATCAGTTGATAATGAAGTTGAATCCTTAGTGAACCCTCTCACTGATCGTATGTTTAATAAAAATGCGGAGCTTTTATTATTCGACGAACATCTTGATACTAATTTAGTTAGAGGGATTTATAAGCAAGCTGTGGAGAAGTTGGATAAGTTAAGAGCAGCTGCAGCAAGCGTTCTCTACATAATTTTGTACAACAAGATGATTTATATTCCATATATTTATTTCCGAGAAAAGTTAGAAGAAATAATTCTGAAGGAAGCATAAGCCAAATGGGTTGTAAGCTTATAGATTTTCCATCATTTCTTGAGGTTGATAGTATAATTTTTTTATTGAGAAAATACTATTCTATTGTAGGTTCCTTCGCGCACTTACCCACACTTCAGTTGATATTTTGCGGGTTCTCCAATAATACAGGAAACACGACAAAGTCATTATACGAGTTGCAGAATTAAATGTTTGTTGTGAATTTAGTGTTCGAACACGTCTATTTGTGAATATGCTAAGTTTTAATTAACCTCAAACAATGTTAAGTTTATCTTATTGGCAATGATAGACTAACTATCTTCATTTGGAGAATGTTTTGACGTTCCCTTATTTCTACCCTTCGTTACCATACGGTAAACTTTTTAAAATTTTCTTATGAATGTCATTAATATTTCGTCATACTTTTTAAAATTTTCTTATGAATGTCATTAATATTTCGTCATACTTTTTAAAATTTTCTTATGAATGTCATTAATATTAACTTCGTCAGACTTTTTATCGACCGTGAAAAAAAGTTTCCTAATTGTAAAATATGTAATATGTGATACTTGCAATACAGATGAGGAGGAGTTTTAGAGCTCTAAAGGGTTTCGTAAGGCTTCAAAGAGTGGTAAAAGAACTACCTGCAACATCAAATCCACAAGAAAAACAATAACCATTCTTTTCCTTGGTTAAGAGTTGTTTTCTTTTGAAATTTAGTCAAATGTGATTTATTAATAGAAGGACTTTATAAAGGGGTGAACTATCGTACAAATCCTAGATATAAACAAATTCATGTTATATTGCAGTTTGAAATGTAAGATTTGGATATTTAGTATTTTTGTAGCCAAGACTTTTCCGGTAAGAATTTAGCACTAAAGGTAGAGTCAGGAAGGATTTTAATTATTAAATAATAATAAAAATATATTTATTATTAATTTAAAATATTAAATAATAATGGAACATGTTTATTATTGTTAAGTATTTTGTAAGTTTGTTTTGAAATTTGGTTAGTGCTAGTGTGATGCAGAGATAAAACAATATGGAAAAATATATTATTTTTTAATTATTTATGTTAGTAATATTTTTTATTTAAATTTATTTTTAATTTAAAAAACAATACTTTTTAAAGAAAATATATGAAAATTTTAGTTTATATTATTGATATAATAATTTCACTAATATAAATAAATTAAACATATTTCTAAATTAAAGATTGAATCTATTTTTTTTAAAATTGGAACAATGATCCAAATAGTTTTATAATTAATATAAATCCAAATAGTTATATAATTAATATAAAAAATTAATATTTATATACGTAAAAATATAGGTTGATCTAACTATTTTTATATATGAAAAAATTATATTTATAATCTTAATATAAATAAAAATTTGTTTTTCGTTCAAAAATAATAAATGTAGGTGTTTAGGTATTGGCTTGCATTTTTGGTAAATCCCAAGTGTATGTGTGAATGTCATGACTGATGTCATAACATTCTAGTTTAGTTTGTACTGACTCATTAGGTACCTTTGCAGAAAAATATTGTAATTCAAGTACTGATGTTTATAAGTGTGTATCTGAGCATTTTGCAAAATGATCACATTTTGCTAAATCAGTAGATAGGTTTTCTCAGATGTCATAACAGATGTTATGACATCCTGTTCTGAACTAACAGGTTTGCAGGTTGGATAAGTCTGAGTTTTTTCAGGAAAATAACTCAGTCTTTCCTAAACATAATCCTGCGTTTTCTGAGGGGTAACCTAGCTCAACCCTAACCTGGTTAATAAAGTTCTGTGACCTGGTCTTTAGGTCAAACGGAATTAACCCTAGGTTTTTGTGGAAACCCTAACTGAAGTTGCAGCTGCTATATATTCAACAGAGCTGCTGTTTTTCAAGGCATCCCTTTTTATTGATCAGAAGATCATTTGTAATCTGTATAGGTTTGAGTATTGTACTCCAAGCAATTATCATTGTGATAAGTGACTTGGAATAGGTTTCTAATTGTAAGGGTTGTGTAGCACTCAAAGCTTCGAAGCAAGAGTGTTTGAATGTTCCTTGACTAAAGCTGTGAAGCAGAGTCAAGTTAGCTGTGTGCATCACTCAAAGCTGTGAAGCAAGAGTGATTGTGTTGCTTGATTAAAAAGCTGTGAAGCTTAATCAAGTGTTTGTTTTTGAAGAGTGTCTTCATCAATTCTTAAGTCAAATTGGTTTATGTATCACTGCTGTGATTGAGGGGGAGTGAGTAGGAACTCAGGTTTAAGTTGTACTTAGATTGGAATTGCATTGGGTAGGTCTTAAGTGAAGGAGATAAACTGGTTGGTTTATTCCTGAATTAACATCTCTTATAGTGGATTTCCTCCCTGGCTTGGTAGCCCCCAGAGTAGGTGTTGTTGCACACTGAACTGGGTAAACAATTGACTGTGTTCTTTATTGCTTTTGTATTTACTGTCATATAGTAAGTCAGATACGGTGTCATAACATTGAACGTGACATTGAGTATCTGCAGCCAGAATTTCAATTGGCATCAGAGCAGGCACCCTGCCTGTATTACTGGGTGAGATCTAGGGATATCACTTTCTGGCACTATGGACAAAGAAGGAGTTTTTGGAAATAGACCACCCATTCTGGATGGAACTAATTATGACTACTGGAAACCTCGTATGATTGCCTTCCTAAAATCTCTGGACAAAAAGGCTTGGAGAGCTGCTGACAAAGGATGGATTCATCCCACCATAACTGAGAAAGATGGGACAATCAGTCTGAAGCCTGAGGAAGATTGGAGTAAAGAAGAAGATGAGTTAGCCCTGGGAAATTCCAAAGCTTTAAATGCCTTGTTCAATGGAATTGATAGAAACATTTTCAGATTAGTACATCAATATGAACTGGCCAAGGAAGTTTGGGACACTCTCAAAATTACTCATGAGGGCACTTCCAAAGTAAAAATATCAAGGCTTCGGATGTTGACTACCAAATTTGAGAATCTAAAAATGATGGAAGATGAAACCATTCATGAGTTTCACATGAACATCTTGGAGATTGCCAACACCTCAGGAGCACTGGGAGAAAAAATGTCAGAAGAAAAACTGGTGAGGAAGATTCTCAGATCCTTGCCTAAAAGATTTGCAATGAAGGTAACTGCCATAGAGGAAGCCCAGGACATTAGCAAGTTGAAAGTGGATGAACTTATTGGGTCTCTTCAGACTTTTGAGATGGGAATCACTGATAATGGTGTCAAGAAGAACAAGAGCATAGCACTTATGTCCAACACTGATGTTGAAGAAAACATTTCAGAAGCTGTAGCCATGCTTGGAAGACAGTTCAACAAACTCATCAAAAGAATAGATCCAAAGTCAAGGTCTAATGTTCATAACATTCCCTCTGACATTGACAGTTCCAGCAGAAGACCAAGGTCAGAAGAGAAGGGAATTCAAGGCAGAGGAATTCAATGCCATGGTTGTGAAGGATATGGGCATATTCGAGTTGAATGTCCTACCTTTCTTAAGAAACAAAAAGGAATGACAGTTACTTGGTCCGACTGTGATTCAGAAAGTAATTCTGAAGAAGAATCTGCCAAACGAGTTACTGCTTTAACTGGTGTGTGTACCTCTGAAAGTGACATCAGTGATAAAGAAGTGACTTTTAAAGAACTGGCTGATACTTACAAGAAATTGTGTATCAGAAGTACTGAAGTCTGTGTGCAGAATGAGAAACAATCAAAACTCATCATAAAGCTGGAGGCTGAAAAAAGGGCAAATCTTGAAACTATAAGTCATCTAGAAGGAGAAGTTCAATTGCTGAACTCACAACTGAATCAAATGACCAAATCTGTCAAGATGTTGACCAATGGAACAGACAAATTGGAAGAGATCCTTCAGGTTGGACTAAATGTGGGAAATAAATCTGGACTAGGATTTATGGAAGCAAAGAAATCTGGTACTGGTAAGCAAATGTTAAAACAGATGTCTCAACACAACTCTCAACATCAGGAACATAGACATATGAAGAAAAGGTACCAAAGATGGAAATGTCATCATTGTGGGAGATATGGCCACATAAAGCCCTTCTGCTTCAGACTACATGGATATCCTAATCAGAACTCAGGTGTCAAACCTAAGTCTAAAAAGGTAGCACATGCTCCTAAATGGAAGAAAAAGGCTACTGCACTGATAGCTCACACTTCCCTGAGGGTCTCTGCAAAGGAAGATTGGTACTTTGACAGTGGATGTTCCAGACACATGACTGGAATCAAGAACCTCCTCAATAATGTTAAGCCTCACACTACAAGTTTTGTGACCTTTGGAGATGGGGCTAAAGGTGAAATCAAAGGAGTTGGTGATTTGGACTGCCCTGGAGTTCCAAGTCTGAATGAAGTACTGCTGGTGAAAGGGTTGACCGCTAATCTCATTAGTATCAGTCAATTGTGTGATCTAGGATTCAAGGTCAATTTCTCAAAATCTGAATGCCTTGTAATCAATGACAAACAAGAGATAATAATGAAAGGAGTCAGATC